TAAAAAAGCTTCACATGCCCATTGGGAATCTGTGAGTTCATTTAATCCTTGAGATAAAAGTTGAGTACATTCTTGTTGAGCTAGGCTGAGATGTTCTGGTGACATGCCAGAATGATTAGCTTTAATGGGATTGATATCTTCACCTTTTATGAATGGAAGATGGATAAAGAAATCAGAATTCTTCCATAATGGATGGGAACATTTAGTGACAAAATCTACATGAGGATCTGCACAAGATCGGGAAATAAGCTGGGCTTTGATTTGCTCAATTGGATTGCCTTTAATTTGGAATAAGTTAAGTTGAGTGGTCCAAGATTGGAAAAACATCTTGTACCGAATACCATCAGGGAGGATTCTAAGTTTATTAAGTTTGGAATAAACATCAAAACCTAGAACCATATCTTTGTCAAGTAAATCAAAGCCAAGAACTTTGTGAAAAGTAAAACATCTTGGAAAAAAATTGGATTTTATTGGGTTTGCTGATCAGATGAGTAGTGAAGGTATCACTATTGGCAGTGTAGAAAACTTCTTGATGAGGTTTCCACTGGGAGGATGGGAGGATCTTAGGGTTGATAATAGTGCGAGTAACACCAGTAGGGAAATAGGATTGGAATAGTTAGTAGGGAAAATCTGGACATTTGCTGTAGATACGTGGCATGAGAGGGCTAATGATGGAAAGGATTGTGGTATTTGTTGGATATGGTAAAAATAATGACAATCATCTGAATTAGAGAACTCAGTATCAATGGCTGCAAACTGAAGAACTGTATCTAAAATGGGTTCTTCATCCATGGAAAACCAACTTTCGACATCATCATAAAAAAAGTCTATATCAATGAGTTGAGAGAGCTGTTGCATCATTTTGGCTGACTGTTTGTGCTTGTTTGGACAATTCTTGGCAAAATAGCTAGGACGATTGCATAAGTAACACCAATTAGATCGTTAACCTCGACGTCTCTTTTTCCGAAGAAACTTGTGGTGCTTGAAACGTCGAAATTTGCGTCTGGCAGGAGCATTAGGTTGTGAATACTTGATGCGTCTGGAATGAAACTTCTTCTTGGTAAGACAAAAAACATGAATGATCTAATTTGCACTTGATCTGCAAGTCTGGTCTCTGACAAACCTTTGTCAGCTGCTTGGAACACTTCAGATAATCATCAAAAAATTATTTTTGAAAACAGAGCTTTTCTAAGCAAGAATGACAAACTGATAAATTTCTCCAAGAGAAGTGGAACTAAGTTGTTTGCTTTGAGACTACATGAGCTTGGTTGGTTCATGACTTAAGGATTTTGGAATAGAAGCTAAAAAAGGTTTGCTTCATGTTAGGATCATCTATACCTCTAAGTATATGATATAGTTTTACCATTTCTTGATAATGTCTGTCAAGATCTTTCTTTTTGAGAGAACAACATCGCATCTTAAAATATTTTTCTCTGACCCGGTCCTCATAAAGGTGAGGTAATCCACAAAACTCATCATAGAAGAGATACAGAGCTTGATTAATATCTGACATTTGGATAACAAAGTTTATCTGTACTCTTGAAGACTAATCCATCAATCACGGAGAATTCCACCAAATCTAGCTGTAAACTGTGTAAGTACAGTAGAGACTTGGGCATTAGGTTCAAGCATCTCAGCGTGTAACCAGGCTTGAAATTCTTACATCCGATTTCTCCATTTGTGTGGAGGAAGATCATTGACAGTATGGAGCTTAGTTGAAGTTATACAAGAGTCACGCACAACCGTAGTATGATGCAATTAGCGATACATAAGCGGAGAGTCTGGAATGGAATTATCAACTTCAGGCGTTTCATCATCAACTTCAGAGACAATGGGTGGTCTTGAAGACTCAGGTTGGTGGGTCATTAATTGGGGATAAACATTGAGATATTGATTAGAAGCATCACTTTCAGAATCAAAGCTACTATCAAATAATTCATCAGTAGAAGGCATATCAGCTTCTGATTCTATTTGGAAGGAAGATGGAGAATCTTGACAAATACTAGAGGCTGCAAGACGTTGTCTTTCTACCATGTCTCTAAAAAAAGAACTCATATAATTGGAAGAGAGAGGACTTTCTAAAGAGACAAGATTAGGAAAAATTTGGCAATCTTCCATCATCATCATTTACATTAGAGCCTTATCCTTAGATAAAGGACGATTAGGCTTTAAAGATGGAGGATCTAAATGACTGGCAGAGAAAGAGTAAGTTATATTATCAGATGTTTCCATTCTGACACATGTGTTTTAGTAGAATATTTTTCTTGCTTCTTTTGTTCACGTTCCAGCTTAATCTTTTCATCACGTTCTTTGTGGAGTCTGACATATAATTGTTCAATATTCCCAAAAGTCTGAATTGCACCAGAAGGCATTTGAGGAGAGACCAAAGGTTGACTAATCTTTGGGAAAGGTGAAAATTAGGGTTGTGGCCATGCCAATGAAGAATCAAAAGGATTTGGCACCAAAGACATTTCAGGAAAGTATGCGTTTGTCTGAGTTTTTGTTTAAGATATTCCTGTTGAAGTGATGCCATTTGAGTTTTGAGCGACTTCATTTCTACTTCCTTCTGGAGAAATTGAGCTAAATGGTTGTGAGAGGTGCTAGTGATGTGCATCAATTCCTGATGGAGCTGATCAATCTGTTTTTGTAAACAAGAAGTCAGCCTAGTGAGGTGCTAAGACTATGAGTCCACCTGATGAATTACCAGATCTAATTTTTGTTTTACTCTAGTAATGGTTTTATTCTGGACTAAAGCATTTTCAGTCTACCAGTTAAGAACTGCTTCAGCTTGGGAAAGTTTTAGTGTGAAGCCATCAGACTATATGGCTTTGGAAGGAATCATTTTTGGTTGTTGAGTCACAATTTCCTTAAGTGAAGGAAAATCGGTGTCATAATTGAAATTTTGTCCTGTCTTTTGGGGTTCAGGTGATTGAATCATCATGATGGATTGGATAGGAGAAGTATGAATAAGGGGTGAATAGGTCATTTTATTTTCTTTTGCAATCCACTGGAGAGCCTGTCGATAACATGGTAAAGGCTTTTTAAAGTAAAGTGATTTAATAGGTTTGGATAGTTTTAAAGGAGATCTATCATGTTTTTTCATAAACACCACTCCATCAGATCCGACGGCCTATGTTTTTCACAGCATCAAGTCATATTTCATCGGTCCTATCCATATGATCTCATCCATAATATGTTTGACCATCCTGTTGAAAGTAGGTCAATTCATAAAATCCTTTTTGAGAAAAATTAGATGATTCCAGATGAGATATGGCCATCTTTTCGCAATGATGCCCTGTGGGAACTCTTTCCTCCAGCTTACATTGAGAAATTACTCCAAGCCAAACAAACATGCATACATTCCATCACTGCTCAATTAAATGCCACTTTAGACTATCCAGAATGGTGGTATCCAGACTCTCAGCCGGATATTGTGCAGGAAGAAGAGCTCCAACATTCTCGTAATTACAATCTTCATAAATTCAAGCGACATTAGTACATGCATGCACCAACTACCTCTACAGGGCAACCATCTCAATCTCCAGACATTTCTCCGGATACTTATCCAGATTGATCTTCTCGACAAATTCCTACTGATTGGATTTAAGCAATGGGCTGTCTCGATTTCCAAGATGAAGACTCGTGACACGTTACAAACTTGTCAGATGATTAAAGCTTTACACTTAAAATAAATATTTGTGTAATTTATGTTTATCTGTAAATAAACATGGATTAAATGACAGTTTGCCAGTTCAAGTGTAATATCTCTCGTATAAGATATAAGAGTTAAATATTGTAGGCAAATAAAAAAAAAAAATCCAAAAAGTCAAATATGTCAAGCCATATATGAAATGTCTCTTTAATGTGTATTAAATATTATGTCTTATATTTCTCTATAAATAAAGACTCTTCTCTTCCTGTTGGAGGAGGAGGCGGCATTGTGAAAAAAATCTCTTTGTACATTTGTCTTGCTCTTATATTGTTCTCTTGCAAAAAAAAATCTCTTACATTTCTCTCTTACATACATTTCTCTCCATATTTCCCTCTTGCACATTTCTTTTATGTTTCCTTCATATTTTCAAACTTTTCTTCAACCTCAAAGATGTCGTGATATTCCTGATAATGGTAAGTATGACAAAAGATTTCATATATTATCTTTATTTATGTTCTTAATGTATTTATTTTCACTAGCCCTTTTAGATAATGTTATAAGATGTGTGGGTGTGTAGTGTGTGTGGGATAAGAGGAGAATATTGACCATAAATTTGACTGATCGTTATATTGATTGATTTTCATATAGGTCGGTTATCATAGTTTCTCATATGCACAAATTCCATAATCAATCTTCTGACACCATCTCTGAAGTCTAGTAATCATTTTAGTATAAATTTTTTAACATTTATAAGAGTAATGTTATATATACAAATTATATGCATAAAATATTCATTAATCCTTCCAAACTGATGTGATGTATTTTTACAATATAATCTTCAATTAATTTAAAACATTTTAATTTATACGGGAGAATTTATATATCAAATATTATCTACATATGTAATAAGTCAGAATCTATAATTTACTCTTATCCAATTTATTAACTTTTGATTATCAAATTAATTAACGATATATCAAAGATGCAAAGAATTTAGGCTTGCTTTATATGGCGGGCCTTTCAAATATCCAAAACCGGCGTGAGACTCTTCTCCTTTCTAGATGTCAACGTGTTATAATCTCATTCGTCTAATCCACGTCAGCCTTAGATTCAGATTCAAAACACAGCATAAGCCTCCCTGGCAACGTTACGCACCTAATGGTGACCAAATCATCTCGTGCATCACATATCTACTTAAACAGTGATCCCATCCCCCGTGTCACTCTCTGACCAATCCCCAATCTTTTCTTCCCTGTTTCCTAAAATACCCCTAGAAAATAAAGATAATTACCTTTCTTTCACTCGTATATATACTCTCCTCCGTTCAACTGATGACGACACTCTGAAAGCCCCAAAATATCTCTCCTTTGAAAATCTAGGGTTTCCCAAAATACGTAAACCTAGATCCCTATCGTACAATATCTTAATTTTCTCTTAAATTTAACTCTTGAGGGTTACGGTTTTCGTCGATTCTCTTTACTTACTGTTTGATTCTGGAGAAAATTTGATCTTGCTTTAGCTTTTTCTCGTCTTATTTTGCTTGACGAAAGGTTTTCGTATTTTTGGCTTTTATTTTAAGTGGAAAATTATCCTAATTTTTTTTTTTAATTCTCGAGAAAGTTTTGGAGCTTAACGGATTTTGCTGTCGTTGATTCGGTTCAATTTTCCATTATTATTGTTTGGTTTCCGAGACAATTTGGAGTTTGAGGGTTTGAAGAGTTGAGAGAAATTAAAATTTCTGTTTGGTTGCTAGAAAATTTGTTCTTTTTGCTTTTTAATTTATTTAAGAAATTATAGCTTTTATTGAAATATCAGTGAGCTAATAGTTGAGTAATGGCGACTACTACAACTGTGGCGGCAGAAGAAGCGGAGTCGGTGGAGGATTACGAGAGCGATCCAGAAGAATTGAAACGCTCTCTTGTGATGCGAAGAAGAGAAGCGAGCGATGATGAAGAGGAGATATTAGAAGAGAGGGGAAGAGGGAAAGGAAACACTCGTGGAATGGATCGTAGGGCCCACATTCATTCGGATGATGAATCTGATGGCCAGGGCGGGGCGCCTGCTGATTATGATGATGAAGAAGAAAATCAGGATGAGGAATTAGAAGAGGAGGATGTTTATGAGGAGGAAGTTTATGATGAGGAAGAAGAAGATGAGGAGATTTCAGAGGAGGAAGTGAAAGAAGAGGAGGGGAATGCTGGGGGAGTTAAAATCAAGGAAATGGAGAGCGGTGATGGGGGAAGGAGTGTGGAAGGGACGGTGGACGTGAGTGTAGGGGATAATGATAATGAAAAGAATGATGGAGTGGAGGGTATGGAGGAAGGGAAAAAAGATAGTAATGAGCCATTTGCGGTTCCAACTGCTGGTGCTTTCTATATGCATGATGACCGATTTAGGGAAAATGTTGGTGGTCGACACAGGTATTCCTTGGATATTTTCAAGTGGATTGTAGTTAGAATGTCTTCTCCTTTGTGTATTTAAGATGATTTATTAGATGACCATAAGTTTAGGACGTTGTAAATTTTAAGTTTGCTCGTGGTGTTGCTTATTGTTTGCTTAAATAATGTTGAAGGAAGGCAGGCATATTTGGGTGTTTTCTTTTTGGGGATGAAGAAGAGAAAATTCTCTAGAAGTGAACTCCTTTGAATTGGAGTAAAAGGGTCGAACTAGGGAAACATAGGTTGAATTAGTTAATTCTTGTCTCTGTCACAAGCTATGATAGTATTAGAAAACTTGTGGGCTGAGATTTAATGTATGTGCTTGCCTTTGGTTAACACACACTTAGATAAACATTTTAGAGGGTCAGTCATGGACTTGGTATATAATGTGGTCGATAGTGGTGCATCTATCTATGATATGCTGCCCTTTTCAGATTGCAGTAATAGTCGTCTTCTGTTTCATATTAGGTTTTAACTTCCATACTACATAAACTTTTCTCATGCTGCTGCTCAAGTTATGGAATGTATTGTGTAGTTTTATCTAATTTCTATATTGTTTAGGAGAACTCATGGTGGGAGGAAATTGTGGGAGTCCAAAGATGATAGAAAATGGGGGCATGACAAGTTTGAGGAGATGACTTCACAGGAAAGGCATTACGATGAGGTAAATTTTACATAGATGTCCTATCTACATGAAGAGTGCGATTCTTTTTCTCTGTTTTCTTCTGTTTTAAGAAGCCAGCCTTCTGATATATATGAATTCAGGGAAGGAGGTCTTCTAGAGGCCGCTACCGAGGTCGTGGTAAAAATCGTGGTCCAGATCATGGGTATCCTAGGGGAAACAGGTCCAAAACGTTCAATAACAACAATAGCAATCAGAACCAGGCACCTAAGGGTGTCAGAGGAAGGGGGCCCAGGAGGTATGAACCTGGTTGGAAGAACAACAATCAGGCACCTTCACAACAAAACAAACAGTGAGGACACAATTTGAGTTTAGTCACATTTTAATGGGTTCGTTTCTCTTTGTCGATCAGGATTCCCATAAAAATATTTCTATTCTCATCTTATTAGGTCTGGGAAGCCTTTTGAGAAAAGTTCACATACCAATTCAGGTAGAGCTTTCACCTCCTCGTCAAATGCAGAATCTGATCCCGTTCCTCCGAGGAAACAAGTATCTAGTTTGAGTTCTGCGTCTCCACCATTTTATCCTTCAGGCTCTTCAAATAAAGATATCAGTTTGACACAGAAAAGGGATGTACAATCTGGAAACACAAGTAGGAATCTTCGTGCTTCTGGTATGGATGAGAGTTTCTCCATGCAACCAAGTGCAATGCAGCGAGGGAAAAATGCAGCTGATGTTAGAATGGACAAACTTTATATTGATGATCCAAGTGCTTCGGCTGCTGGGAATCCTTTGAACAATCTGCAAATGCTGCCTTCCTCTCAGTCTAGGTCTCAAGGACGTGGTTTAGCTACTCCACAGCAAATTTCTTATCAACTAGCCCCACCTCAGAACCAAACCAACCGAGTTTCCCCACCAACACAACTCAATGCTGTTCAACGAAGTTTGAGTCAAAACCGTGTTCAGTCCTCTGTGCAATCGCCTCCTCAGCAGGTAGGACAGCGTTCTGCTAGTGGTTCTCAGGCCTCCTCCCCACCAAAATCAGCTTCAGTTGTAAATTCAAATGATCATAGTGAAGTGGAATCACCATCAGAATCTAGTAAATCAAAAGGTGCATTGGTTGGAAAGGGAAAAGGCAGTCAAGGAAGGGGCTCACTTATGTATGGTGGGGCTCAAGTTATGGGAGCCACTGGGAATATGACTGTTGGTCCTGGTGATCAAAATTTCCCCACCTTTTTGCCAGGTAAAGCAAAGTTATTGGATCATTTTACTTCGGTAGTCAAAAGAAATAAAGAAAAACGGTAGCTACAATATCATGCAATAAAAAAAGCTTTAGGTCTCAGGAGATAACATTTTTTCCTTGATTTTCAGGGGATCCACTTGCTATTTGTTATGCAAGGAAGTTAAAAGTTAATTCTCTGTATGTTGTTGATAACTCACTTATCAGGGATCCCTCTTTTATGAGTTGATCACTAGTAAGACATATATTTTGGACATCCCCAAATGGAGGTTTAGATTTTGTGATTCATTTTTTTGATCAGAGGTTCTAGTAAGTGTAAGATTCAGTCTCAGTGGATTTGTAGACTTGATTATTAGAATCTTGTTGATAATTATTTTTTTTAAAGTTGATTGATTATTGGCAAATAGATCCCCTAGTTTGGATCAGCTTCCTGATGTAACTTGGTTGTTCTTTATCACACTGTCGATTGAATGGAGTATAGGTTAGAAATTTGTTGTATTGAACTGTTAATTTGGATATATTGTTTCAGCATATGTGATCACAAGTAAATCTCTACTTTTTATCTCTAGCTTTTAGCTGTTTTAACTTTTCATAAGTTAGAACTGAGACCTATGGCTATGAGTGCTCTTATTGTTATAAATTGGTTTGCAGTTATGCAATTTGGGGGCCAGCATCCTGGCGGTATTGGAGTTCCTGCTGTTGGCATGGCATTTCCTGGTTATGTTGCTCAGCCACAGCTTGGTTTGGGGAATTCCGAAATGACATGGTATAGTAATTCTCTCTTTGCTTAAATATTTTGGGCTTCCTTTAATTGTTTTGGTTAGTTTGTTAGGTGGGTGATTGATTTGCCGTACATGGTTGAAATCTTTTGCTTTTCTTTATTGAAGCAGAATTTATAATGTACCAACATTAAATACTTCCCTTCATTCTACTGATAGGAGATTGCATATGCGCTCATTTGGTTTAGAGTGGTGGTAGTGTTACTACCATGTGTCTTCTCTTATGTATCTGCCCTTTTAAATCTGTTTATGTTCATGCTTTGCTTTCTCTTAGAATGCTGGAAATTAATAGTGGTTGCCGTTTTTGCTTTTTTAGGCTTCCAGTTCTGGCTGGTGCTGCAGGAGCTTTGGGTGCTTCATATTGTCCACCTTATATTGCTGTTGATGGTTCTTATCATCCTCGCCAGTTAGGTCAGACATCTTCGACTGGTTCCTCAAGGTTAGCAGTGTTATGTCTGCCACTTATTTGATCAGTTACTATATTGTCTTTTGATTTTTTCTTCTTTGCTTCCATAACTTTATTGTTGCAGTGTTAAACAGTTCTGTTTTATATGTATCGGTATATTCACTCCAATTGCTATCAGTTTCTCTTTGTAGAATAATCTTTATTATTGAAATAGAATCTTGAACTTAGTTCGTTGTAAGATTCAGATGTGCACTAGGTAAAAGTCCAAGGTGAAGAGGGTGGATAGTAAATGAAAAAAGTTGGCACATTCTAAGGACATCCTTTGTGGGATTTCTCATTCATTTTATCTACAGTTTTGTACTGGAACATGAAACTCATTGAACCTTTTAGTATTTTATGTCTTATAATCTTGATATATTCGTCACTTTCAACAGTAAGGGTTATGTTAGTATTTTGATGATACAGCTGCCTGTTCTAAGGTAAATATGAATGAAGAAATTGTCTTCAATCAGATGATCTCTAATAAAAGCTGCGGTGCTTGGAAAGATAATTATACTCATATGACTTAATCTACTTTTTTTTTTTTTTTTTTTTCGTAATGCTAGTTTCTTTATATGTTCACATTGTCATAGATAGCCGAAGAAAGTAATTATGAGAGTAACATATTGTTCCCCTGGTTTGATGGATTTTTATATTTTTTCCCATTGATTGCAGCAAAGAAATTACTTCTAACAAACCCAATAATGAATGGAAGCCTTCCCTGAAACCAGGTAAGAATTTATGTTGCATTTTCAAATTTTGTGCTCATATACTGTTAAAACACACTGTCATTATTTGCTGTTGTAATTAAGCTAAAAATATGTACATATTTTTTTCCCACAGAGCCTGGAAGTGATGAATTTGGGCAACAACAGAACAAACCTCAGCCTCGCAGGCAAGTTGAATTCTTCAACGAATTCTGATTGGGGGGTGTTTATCCCGTTTTATATTGAGCTCCGTGTTATTTGTATTTTGCTTCCTGTCGATTTTATTTTTTAAAAATTTGATGCAGATACTCAGCTATGAATTTGGCGAATGATGTGCTTAGATAGGATGGAACCTATTGAATAAGCAGCTGAAGGTTAAAGTTTTGCTCAATAAGACTTTTTACGCCGATTCGGTGTTGCAAAGTTTCTTAGTGTGGTTATTTGGTGGTGCAGGCCTTCTTCCAGGCCCTCTGTGATCTCCAGCTTTTGTTCTGGAGCACTTTGGGCCGCTGTTTGTTCCAATATAATTTAGGTAGTTTGTACTGGCTTCTGTTTTCTTCTCTTAATCTGAAGTCTTTCACTTTCTTTCATTTGTTGTGTATACTCAACCTTTCCCCTTCTGTTTTTTGCTCTTGCAGTTATATATGACAAACACCTGTTCATGCTGCGGTCAATTTAATAACATTATTGCGGCCTGACAGGTGGCAAATCCTTGTTTAAATTTGCGGTATGAATGTGCATTGAAGATGAGTGCCTTTAATGTTTGTATTGTGAATTTATGGAACAAAACTTGTGATATCAGCAGTGTGTTTCTGTTTCTCAGGTGTTTTTCTTTTTGTGGCTTGTTTTTTATGTGAAGCTTGGAAGAAATGTTGGATAAGTCTTCTCCAAGAACTTCATATGAAAAATAGAACCAAGAATTATTGTGCAGCAGGTCATTCTCTTGGTGAAATAGAATTTTTTTCTATATAGATGGATGATGTTTGAGTTTCGTATCGATGTTTAGTGACATTCCCTTAATATTGGTTATTTGTTGGTTGATTGGTCTCTTAATATCCCAGTATTTGTGTACTGAGAGTGAGTGGGGTGGTTGGTATTTTTTCTTAGCTAATTAATTAGTAGTGTGTTAACACTTAACAGCTGCTCATCTAGACCATGTAATGCTTGGCTATGATAATATTTCATCAGTTTAATTGTGATTAAATAATGGAAACAGTTCATCTCTGCTAGACTTCTTATTTGCCGTTGGATTTCCCCTACATGAAATTTGAAACTAGTTAAGACCATTTACTTTGAAAGCTAATATTCTATTAAGTGCCTCTGAGGGGGCGTTTGGTTCAAGAATGTTAGATTATTAGGAATGTTGGATCATTGGAAAGATAGATTACCTTGGAAGATTACTGGAAATCTTTAGAAAAATGTGTTTGGTTAGTTGGTGGGTATGTTATATTAATATGTTTGGTTATGGTGAATAAATTGGTGGTTATGTTATTTAAATTACCAAATTGTCCCCTTTTCAAATATTAATATAATATTATTTTTATTATTAATTTTTGAATAATTTTTTTTTAACCTCCAATATTTCAGATTTAGTTAAAACACCCTGGTTTATATAAAACTTTAATTTATTACGAAATCACCCCCATCACCTGCTGTCGCCTGTCGTCACTGTAGACCACCGTTGGAAGTCTTTGAAAGTCCCCATTAGTAGCTGATCGTGACCAAGAGGCTTTGATATGGTCGTTTTCGACCATATTGATGGCCGAAAACGGCCATATCTTCCGGCTAGATCGATGGATCTTGTCGCTAACTGCTAGATCTGGATGAGATCTGGCCGTTAACGGCCAGATTTGGCTTGATATGGCTAGAAACGGCCATATCGAAGCCTCCTGGAGTCTCCCACCAAGTCTCGTTCTTTTTTAGGGACTTCCGATAGCGGCCCATGGTGTTTGGCCGCTGTTGGTGGTGGTGGCTGGGTGGCAGTGGTGGTCTATAAATTATTTTAAATATAAGGGTATTATTGTCCAAAATTTTAATTAAACAGGGGTAAAATTGAAATAGGATATTAATGTAAATTTGTTTTAAAGTAGGGGTATTATTGTCCAAATTTTTTGTTAATAAGGGATAAAATTGTAATAAAAAAAGATAACCCTAGTAATCTCAGAATACTTAAGAAAATTGAGGTAATCAGATTACCTCTAATATTAACAATAGTAACCACTATTGGTATTTGAAGATTACAGGTATCTTATATTACTTGACAACCAAACATGGTAATCAAGTAATATAAGATGACATTACCCTAATAATCCCCTATAACCCCTAACCAAACGCCCCCTGAAAGGTATAATAGATTCATTGAATGAAAGCTTGAAAGTTGCTTATGTCATAAACTAGTTGAAGTGGTAAAGTAAAACATCATTTCCAATGTGTGGATGATAGGGGTGTTCAAAAGTAGTTAATCGAACCGGTTTTTCGGTTCGGAAAAATTTTCGAACCAAAACCGAACCGGTTTGAAGGAAAAACCGGTTTTTCGGTTAATGGAAAAACTGGTTTTTTGGTTAATCGGTTTTGAATCGGTTTTCCCTTTTTTTTGACAGAACTTATTTTTTTTCCCTAAATTAAATTGTAAATATAAATAATATATATCCAAATAAAAATTAAACATTCATACATATCCATTGACTGATAATAATAATAAATGAAAAATATTATTATTATTTTATTTAATATATAATATATAATATTATTATTATTTATTTAATATATAATATATTATATTAGTATTTTTTTTATTTAATAGAAAATTTTTATTTTTATTTAATATATATCTTTGTAGAACAAGTTCAAAAAACCAGTTTCGATTAATCGTTTTTTTTTTTTCCGAAGCGGTAACCGAATCGAAAATTCAGTTTTTAAAATTTTTCAAACCGTAATTGAACCCTTTTTTTGTTTCGGTTCGGTTTTACATTTTTTTGAACACTCTAGTGAATGAAACAGATACCCAGTTTTGATATTTAATATAGGTTGAATCCTTTGTGTTGATATTGCTATTTAATGGAGTTCCTAACAGCCAAAAGATTTTTAAATTTTAATTGGGGTCGAGATGTATAAAATATTAGAGTTTAATGGTTTTTGTTCTTTGCATGGTCACTAAAACCAAAAAAGAGAAAGATTGAAACTTATTATAATGTTAATTACAGTTTAAATTTCCAGAAAAGATTCCAAAATGAATAAAAATAATGAGGAACCCTACTTGAATTCATTGTATATACTGTCAATAACGTTATTTTAATGAATTTATTATTCATCTTTGCATAGGATTCTGCTTTGAGTTATACCTTTCAGAAAACTATGCATATAAGTATTGAATTGGTATTGTTGTTGAGTTAAAAGTGGTATGCAAATTATAAATTAAAAAAAACCTCTTTGCTTTAATTACTTAGAAAGTTTCTTTATTTATTTCAAAGTTTTAAACACATTAAACTATAATTCTAGCCAATACATAATAATAATTCTAAAACCGTGGACCCATAACGGAGCAATCAATAGTCCCAACACGCGTCAAATCAATCTAACGGTCAGGATCAATCCTCAAAACCCACCGACACCGTAATAAAAAATCCAATTAGTTAATATTAATAATCCACGTTTTCCAGGGTTCAGTTCCTTTAATTATTTGCTAAAACCTAAAATAAAAGAACAATATTTCTTTTTGTAAATTTATAAATTTTCTCTTTGTATCAATATGTTTTATGCCGGAATAAATATTATTTCAACTTTTTTTAATAAATACATCTCAATAATATTTTATCCCTAGAATAAAGAGCACGTAGTTAAAGGGTGCCGTGCCGTAAAGTATATCACCTCACCTGTGCCAAAAAATTCCGTAATTGTTTAACGCGATTTGACTCGCAGGTGCTATCCATTTTCAACAAAGTTCAGACATTTTCTTTTTCTTTTCTTTTTTCTTTTTTTGTATTTCTCTCTCTCTCTCTCTCTCTCTCTCTCTCTCTCTCTCTAAAACAGTAATAATAAAACTTCTCTTTCTCATTAAACTCTCTCTCTAAGCTAGCTGAGCTGAACTGAGCTGAGATCAATCACGCAACAGATCAGTAAATTTCTTCGCTCTCTTTCTCTTAGTTTTAAACATCACTTGCTTTTATTATTCACGCATTGAACACTTGTCGTTGAAATGTAACTGTTGCTTTGTTTGTTTGATTGAGATGATCAGAAACTGGGAGCTGATTGTTTAGTTTTGAGGTAGTTTCAGTTGTATTATTTAGTTCTTTCATTTTCCTAGGTTTGTTTGGTTGCTGAGAAAATGTATGAAAAAATAGTTGACTTCAGTAGCTTTTCGATGTTCAAGATTCAGATATTGAGAAGTGCTTTGCTTTGCTTTGCTTACTGTTTGATTTAGTTTTTGGTTCTTGATTGTTGTATCTGTTTGTTTGCTAGTCAACTGAAGGAAAAGTAAAGAAAATGAGAAGTCTGGTTTAATGAGCTTATAAGTGACTTGTATGTTTGAGATTTAAAGACTGAGAAGTGTGTTTATGTTTGTTTTTTAAGTCTTTTTGTTAGTATAGTTCATCTTTTGACGGCTGAAGTCTCTGTTTGGTTACTGAGAAAGTCAGGAAAAAAAGAACTCAAAATTTATTTTTGTGAAGCATATTGATGTTTGGAACTTTTTCTGCGAGTTGTGACTGTTAGTAGAATTTGTGTTGTTGCTGAAAAATTGAAGGAAAGTAACAGAATTGATGTTGAATAGTGAAAACACTTTTGGCTTAGCTGAACTCTGAATACTGGGAAACGATTTTTTCTTTAATCTTTAATATATCAATGATTTTATCATCAGTTGATTTTGTTCTTCAATTAACTGGTAGCTACAAAATGTAGTGGAAAAGTAAAAAGAACTTCGAATTATTTTCATAATTTTTAGCAGCTTCCGATTCAAGTGGTGAAAGATTTTTCTTTCTGTTGTCTAATAATTTTTTTCTTGAGTTCTGTGTTCTAGTGTATTATTTTTCATACATATTGGCTCTGTGCTGAGAAGATTGAATTTCTGTTTTCTTGTAGTATTATCATTCGAAGAGCAATTGAAGAATGTGCTAAACTTTTGTGTACAGGGCCGTGTTTGCAGTCCTACTGATTTTTCTTTCTGTTGTCTAATAATTTTTCTCTTGATTCTGGTGTATTATTTTTCATACATATTGGCTCTGTGCTCAGAAAATTGAATTTCTGTTTTCTTGTAGTATTATCATTCGAAGAGCAATTGAAGAATGTGCTAAACTTTTGTTTACAGGGCCGTGTTTCCAGTACTACTGATTTTGGGTGGTGTATATCTTACAAATAAATATAGATTAAGCAATGGCCTTCTGATATAACCGAGAAATTAATGGAGGACAGCTTAAACTTAGGAGATCTGCGTGTAAATACAGTTAGACAGTCATCCTTTAGGCAGGGTGGCACCTTTAAGTCCACGTTGTCAGGAAAATCGACGCCTAAGAATTCTCCTTCATTTCGGAGATTGAATGCTAGCCGAACTCCGAGAAGAGAAGCTAGAAGCAATGCCTTACAGTGGTTTCGAAGCAACCGATTAGTGTATTGGTTGCTTTTGATTACACTGTGGACTTATCTAGGATTTTATGTCCAGTCCAGGTGGGCTCATGGTGATAACAATGAGAAATTTCTAGGGTTTGGAGGTAAACGCAGAAATGGGATTGTGGACTCTCAACAGAATAAAAGTCGTGATTTGGCAGCCAATGTTAGTTCTCTGCCAGTAAATAAAGGGGCGACTAACATTGAGGTGTCAGATGCTAAAAAAATAGATGTGGTTTTATCTAAGAAAGAAAATGGTGCTTCTTCTCGTCGGAGTGTAACTAAAAGGAAGAGGAGTAGGCGTAGTTTACGTGGTAAAGGGCGGGGTAAACAGAAGACAAAGACAGATATTGAAAGCAACGACATAGAGCCACAGCAACCAGAAATTCCTATGACAAATGCTTCTTATGGTTTACTTTTTGGTCCATTTGGCGTGATAGAGGATAGGATTCTAGAATGGAGTCCGGAAAAGCGATCAGGGACTTGTGACAGGAAAGGGGCCTTTGCACGTCTTGTTTGGTCTAGGAAATTTATTTTGATTTTCCATGAGCTTTCAATGACTGGTGCTCCACTTTCAATGATGGAATTTGCAACAGAGCTTTTGAGCTGTGGAGCCACGGTTTCAGCTGTAGTTCTTAGTAAGAAAGGTGGATTGATGTCGGAGCTCAGTAGGAGAAAAATCAAAGTACTTGAGGACAAAGGAGAGCTGAGTTTCAAAGCTTCAATGAAAGCAGATCTTGTCATTGCAGGATCAGCAGTCTGTGCATCATGGATTGGTGAGTGTCTTTAGCAGTAATTGATTACTCTGTTTATCATTTGAATTTTTTTACTTAAGCTGGAGAAATGGTTTTGAAGTTCTAGACTTCCGGTAATATTTTTAAAAGTTGCTTCTTGTGGTAGTGCTCATAGCTACCTAATAATATGACCTCCAGTATAGCAAATGAATATCATAAATAGGAATGTCCGTATTTTTTAGTTTATTTTATTTACTTTAAAAGGAGTAGACATCACTCTTGCATGTTTTGGAATGCTTGATTATTAGTCCATCATCTGCCTTGGCATTACTCTATCGCAATTCAACCTTTATGTTGCTCCAACTAGGGGACAGTGATGTTTGCCCTGGTAGTTTAGCTATGTAGCATCCTAGTTGAGCTTAAATTTAGACTTGTATTTGTTTGAGACTTTACTTGTATCCTGTGGTATAACTTCAAAATATATGTTTTCTTTTCAGATCAATACATCGATCGTTTTCCAGCTGGTGGAGGTCAAATCGTCTGGTGGATCATGGAAAACCGAAGAGAGTACTTTGATCGGGCAAAGCTTATTCTTCACATGGTGAAGATGCTGATTTTTCTTTCTGAATCGCAGACCAAACAATGGCTAACCTGGTGTGAAGAAGAAAAGATCAAACTAAGATCTCAGCCTGCAGTTGTTCCACTTTCTGTTAATGATGAATTGGCTTTTGTTGCCGGCTTTAATTGTTCACTAAATACTGCAGCTTATAGGCCCAAGAAGATGCTAGAGAAAATGCAACTTTTACGAGATTCAGTTCGAAAAGAGATGGGATTGGCTGATAATGATATGCTTGTGATGTCTCTCAGTAGTATAAATGCTGGAAAGGGCCAGCTCTTGCTTGTTGAGTCGGCACAGCGAATGTTTGAACAAGAAGCTTTCAGAAATGATTCTAGAATAAGAAAAGTGAATTTACGCAAGGGGAAATCGAAGTTGGCTGGAAGTCATCATTTAAGAGGCTTGCTTCAAACATCAAATGACATTGTTGTATCGTCAAGTGAATTAGCCAGTGTCAGTGAGTCTTTTACCTGGTTGGATGAACCTAAGAGGAATGATTTACCATCACCTAGTCTCTATACCTCTATCAGCGACCCAGTGGCTGTGAACTTTATCAGCAGCCAGAAAAGAAGGAAAGTGCTTTCTAAGAATGAAGAAACACAGAAACAGGCTCTTAAACTTCTTATTGGTTCGGTTGGATCTAAGAGCAATAAGGTGCCTTATGTCAAGGAGATTTTACAGTTCTTATCCCAGCACTCAAACTTGTCAAATTCTGTGATGTGGACTCCAGCAACAACACGTGTTGCATCACTTTACTCCGCAGCAGATGTATATGTTATAAACTCCCAGGTAATCCATCTTTTTAGCTTTCTGCTAACGTTTGTGCGTGGGCTGGCACAGAGATTTGCATTCATGTCTGCACACATGTGCATGTGTGTGCTTGCATTGTGTAAATGAGTGTCTGTGTGATTGATTAAGATGATTAACTAAGTGCTCTTAGGTTATATTCCTAAAGAAGATTTGTTGCCACTATATTAGAGGCTTGGGGTTGTACCCTGCTCATGCCAGGGTTGACAGGGGCTTGGTTTAAATTTTTAACTTCAAATTTTTATGTTCCAGATGGAAAATGTATATCAGTATATGAAATTGTTAGTGAGCCTACTTTGAACATATACCTCAACATAAGAGATATATCAGACATGGGGATTCGTTCCCATGTGATGACCTAGTGCATCTGCAAATTTAGAATCTTTGATTGGAGATTCTTTTAGTTGTATTGCTGAAGACTTGTAAAAAACGTCTTACAACATTTTGATTTTAGTTTGAGTCTGCATGCCACTTCGACAAGTTTAAAGTTAATGCCATTCTTTTTGGCTGTTAGTCTTTTAGGTTCTGAAGGAAGGAATTGAAGTATTTATTCTGTTATCCAACTAAAAGCCCATCTGTAGGTTCACCATAGGCTGTACATATGCTACTACATTTTTTGGATCTGTTTCTTAAAATACTGAAGAAGCTAGAGAATTTCTTCTTTCTTCTATTCTTATTGGGAGAAGCATGTCCATCTTTGTTGTTAATTTACAATTTTGTTTTGTCAGAAAACAAATTGCTGACTAGAAAATTTGATTTGCAGGGACTGGGAGAAACATTTGGGAGAGTGACAATTGAAGCAATGGCATTTGGTCTTCCGGTGAGCATCCAACTTGTTCTTGGTCAAATTGCTAGTTATTGTCCTGTTAAGAATTGTTTCTTCATTCAAAGAGATTAGATAATCAAAAGCACACCACTAAAATGCTGTTACATCACAAATTTCTGCAGCTTAGTCCTTCTTGCTGATACTGTAATGCTTATAATGATATAACCTGCAACTAACTGCAAAACTATAGCATTTTCCTTTAAAAATACTGTGCTTAACAGATCACGTTTATTTACCATGATTAATTGGGCCACTGCATTTTCTATTTATTGTCTTCAGTGCTTTCTAAAAATGTAGCTTCCTCGCATCAAACTGCAACAAGAACATGGGGAAAATGTATTAAGTGTTAGCCAAAAAAACTCGATTCCATCACATAAGCTACACTAAAATAGCTAAGAAAGCCATATTTTGCTTGAAGTTTCATCTCAATTGCCTGTGTATTCATTTGTGTGTGAGAGAGCAAAAGTTCTGAGTGTCTAACTTGTGATCCTCAAAAAAATAATGTGCTACTGTATGGAGCAGGTGCTTGGAACAGATGCTGGAGGCACAAAAGAAATTGTTGAGCACAATGTGACCGGGTTACTGCATCCTCCAGGGCATCAAGGAAGTCCTGTTCTTGCTCAAAATCTCAGGTTTTTGCTTAAAAACCCATCAGCAAGGAAGCAGATGGGGATGGAAGGAAGGAAAAAGGTAGGAAAACTGTACTTGAAGCGGCACATGTACAAGAAATTGGGAGAGGTTCTCTATAAGTGCATGAGATTCAAATAAGGTCCACCACTAGATTCTTCATTCTTTAATTGTTTTGGAATTTGAAAGGGTGCTGTTAATAACTGGAAAAAATTAATTGTTTTTTTGATTGATGAAAAGCTATCCTGGTTTGAATTTGGAGCTCAGGATTTTATTTTCAGGAACAGGTTAATTCTGGTGTGTATATACAATTATATTTTCCATGGAATAAAATAGATTACAAAAGAAACTAAATGGAAAGATAAAGCTAGAATTTGGTGACTTTTTAAAAAGATAAATTAATTTTTTTATCGTTGAAATCTATGAATTTGGACAAACAAGAGCTTGTTGTCCAGCTCTCGCATTGCCAAGTTCGAGAGAAGAGAAACAAATAGCTTGGGAAAAAGAGCTGTAATATGGCGAGAAATGGCATGGGGAAACTTCGTATAATATTTATGCTGTTTTTGTGCTTTGGGCAATTGCTGTACAAGCTATTCCATATTCAGCGTGTCTCAGAAATTGCCAAAGAACCTGTTTTAAGTGCTCTATCTTGTCTTAGCCTCCTGTCCCGTTCCTGTAGTCTGGTCAGTGCTACTGAAGGGCTCTGGAAAACCAGACAGTTGTACTCTTAGCTGTGTGAATTCCATGTGCTACAAGTTAACCTCTGGTATGAACTAATCTATCTAGTAGTTTAATATGTTTCAATTCTAACACATTACACGTATTCCACTTTTGTATTGCCTCAACAAATAAGTAAATAATAATTGTGCAGATGAAGAAGTTGACGGTTGTGTGGATATCTTTTTCATAGAAACTTCAAAAATCTCTTCTCCAAGGAAAACCCAATTAGGGTTTTACACTTATTAGTTTACAGTAAAATAAACAAGTTTAGTCCTAAGATTAGGTCTACCCATTTTCTTATAAGAAAGAAAAAAGGAAAACGACATTTATATTTTATTTTTGATTGGGTAAAGAACAATTAAAGTCATGAAATTACTTAATTTCTTTAATTGAAGAGGACAATGACGTATCAACAAATTGAACTTTGCCAAAGTAATTGCTTTCTATTTTCCTCCAGGTTTTCATGAGTAAGCTACAGCTCGCACTCCAACAGTCAAAACTTTCTTCCTTCTAGAACCAATTAATTAACCAATTAAATCCTAATTAACCTTTGACTTTCTTATATTATGACCCTAGTTTTACTATAATTTTGACCTTCATGTTTTTGAACAAGATCCAAACCTCGTTTACACTAGGGGTGTTCAAAAAAATCCGAAAATTGAACCCAATAGGAAAACCTGACCGAAACTGAATCGGTTTTTCGGTTCTTCAAAGAAATCGGTTTTGTTTCGGTTAAAAAAAATCTAGATTAGATAACCTGTAATCCGCATCAATTTTTAGAGACCGATTAATCGGTAATCTGCATTGGTTCACAATTGGTTTGTCCTTGAATCGGTTCGGTTCCGGTTCAATTCAAAAAAGGGGGATCCAGACTGATAGAGGGATACTATATTAATGGAAAGATAAATCACCTTGAAGATACAGAAAATATTTATAAAAATATGTTTGGTTGGTTCAAATAAATTGGCGAGTATGTTATATTTATGAGTAATGCTACAGTCACCGAAAGTAGTGCACCGAATTTATGCATCGAATGACGTAGTGAAATCCTGATCATCGATTAATATTAAGTTATAATTAATCGACGATTAGGATTACGTCACGTTATTCGGTGCGTGAATTCGATGACTGTATTATTTTCCTAAATTTATATGTTTGGTTAGAAGGATAAATGGTGGGTATGTTATATATATTAAATTGCCTTCTTTTTTAAATATTAATATAATATTATTTTTATTACTATTTTTTGAATCATTTCTTTTAATCTTCTATATCTAAAATTTTTCTAAAACACCTCACCCATATAAAACTGTAATTTGTAACAAAATCACCCCATCCACCCTAAGCCACTACTGGTAGCTAGTCACCACCACTGACAATCAAGAAAATGGTGCATGATCGGCCATAGATGACTAGTTGTGCGTTGGCAAAGCCACATTTCATAGCCAGATCTATGGTTGTTTCATGGCCAAAGATGTGGCCATGAAACGGCCAGATCTGTAGCCATAGAAACAGCCTTAATAGCACACGACTGGCTAGATCCCGCTAGTCGTGCATCATTACGGCGATTGTCGTCGACAGTGGTCTTGGGTAACTAAGGATATTTTATTAACTTTTAATTTTTTTTTATGATTTGGGTGTTTTAGCTAATTTTTCAAACGTAAGGGGGTTGGGTAATTGTTATTTGGTAGACATTTGAGGACAATTATATCCGAAATGTAATTTAATAAGGGCAAAATAGGTATAAAAATCATATTACCTCGGTAATCTTTTAATAACAACCGCTGGAGAGGGTATTTGATTATCCACTATATTATTAGCAATAAACATTATTTGCAATAAAAGATACCCGTAATATTTTATTACTTGCAAACCAAACAACGGAGTCTTGCACAATAAACGAAGATTACCCTCGTTATCTTATATGACCTTGAACCAAACGCACCCTAAATGTTAAAAATAAATGACATTAAGGTAATTCAATAAATATTTATAAATTCATACTAGTGTATATGACTATATTCTGATGATCCACTAACGGTTAACTAACGACATGGTGGTTTTTGTTATTTTTCATACTTTAGGAGGATTTTTGTTTTTACACCAAACATTATGGTTGGATGTTTTTATAACTGTTTACTAAGATTTTATTTGATTTTTAACTAATTTAAAAATCCACACTATGAGAATGAAAGACTTGGAAAGTTGATGATATCATGGATGAAGTAATTTAAGGTGGCGAAAGTCTAGCAAAATGACAGTTGGGCCCCCCATTTTTTTTTTTTATTTAAAACAATTTTTTAAAATTTAACAATTATCATGGTTAAAATAAATNCCTAACCTCCGACAAGACTCCTGGTAATTCTTCAACTCCTTAATTCTTATCAAATAATCTCTTTCAGCCTCGCTAACTTGAGCATCAGAGTGCCTACGGCAAACACCACCCCGGTGTTTTCCGGAAGCTTTACGTTTGCCCTTTCATGTGTGCAGGTCTAGCGGATTGTCAATGGCCTCAACCTCACGGGATCAGACCCTATTTTCATGATAGTATATTTTTTGCATCTACAATCTCCAAGAGACATTCTTTCTTTATTCTTTATATATAATTACTGTTCATTGAAATCTTGATTGCAACCCTTTAATAAAATATGAAATTATTGTGTAATATAATATTTCGAATTATATTATCATATAATAAGTGTTTCTAAGTATCCCACTGTATCATATAATAAATGTTTCTAAATATTCGCATCAATAATACACAAAATTTCTAATTATATAAGGCTTAGAAAAATGTATTACTCATTTTTTTGTAACGTTGTAAGTGAAATAAAAAAACCTAATTTTTGTTTAAAAGTGAAGTGTAAATTTAAAGAGACGTGTAATTGTTTTAATTTTCTTATTAATTACAACAATTTTTAAAGCCAATTTACCTCTACTACTCAAATCTACACCATTAAACATTGTATCATCTAAAAATTAATATTCGATATAAAAAATGGTATAATTTTAAGGGGTCACTGATCCTTCCCATTTTACACCTATATTTATATCAATTTTTAGCCTCTAGGATGGTAAACGATGCAAGGCATGGTGTGGCCGTGAGCAAGAATGGCAGCAACATCGCAACAACATCACCACCCTCCAGCCACCGATTTCTCAAGCTGTCGAAGTCCATGTTCTGTGACTTTTTGGTTTTGATGGTGGTTGATTAAAGTTTGAGAAACATGAGGGTTGTTTTTGGGAAGAACCGAACAAGATGATGATATGTCTTCTGTGTAATAGAAAAGAAAGATGAAAAAATTTCTTTCTGTAAGAACCAGAGAAGATGGTTAAGTGCATTATGTGAAAAAAAAGAAAAGAAAACTTTTTTTTTTTTAATTTCTTTTTTGAGATTTGAGATATTATAATTGGTTATAGTGGGTTTTAGAGTTTTGGAGGTTAAAAGAATAACTAGAGTTACTAGGATTAGTTAATTTGTTTATATAAAAGGGGCTATTTATTCGATGATACAGTGGCCAACAACGTTTACAAAAGATTCGTCCTTAAAATTTCGTATAAAGGAAGATCACCAGGTGTGAAGAGAGGATTGCAGCACTACGAAATTCAGGATTGTATAAGATCAATCGGTTATCTTATATGATCCCGAATTAAATGTACCATAAATGTTAAAATATATGACATTAGGGTAATTCAATAAATATTTATAAATTCATAATAGTGTATATTCTGATGATCCACTAATGGTTAATTAACGACATGGTAATCTTTGTTATTTTTCGTACTTTAAGAGGATTTTGTTTTTACACCAAAAATTAGGGATGGATGTTTGAATAATACTGTATGTCAAATGAAACCTATAAGATTTATATTTTAATTATTAAATTTAATGTCACTCATTTAAAATAATTGGGTCAATTTTGCCTAGCTAGATGAAATAAAATATTCAAATTGCTTACCTATATGGGTTTCTTAATGTCAAGATAATTAACATCAAATTTGTCCACATTAAGTCAATTTCAATATTAAAAAATGCCATTCAATATTGTCTACCTCCATAGTCTATATTATCTCCAAGAGAAATTCTTTCTTTATTCTTTATATCTAATTACTCTTCATTAAAATATTGATTGCAACACTTTAATAAAATATGAAATTATTGTGTAATATAATATTTCGAATTATATTATCATATAATAAGTGTTTCTAAGTATCCCACTATATCATATAATAAGTGTTTCTAAGTATTAGTATCAATAATACACAAAATTTCTAATCATAAAGGCTTAGAAAAACGTATTACTAATAACATTGTTTAAGTGAAAAAAAAAAAAAAAAAAACCTAATTTTTGCTTAAAAGTGAAGTATAAATTTAACTACCATTGGGTGACCCAACAGTCAACAAAAACTCTTGGATGTATTACTTAAAAAGTCTTGAATTTAATCTACCTAAGTTACTAATAAGGGTGACCACTGAAATGATTTACATGGTTTTCAACTTTAGGTCTCGAGGGATTAGATTAATTGAGCTGCGCACAACGGCACAAGTGAGTCCGGACAACCCTAGTCACCGAAAAAAAAAAAAAAAAGTGTAAATTTAAAGGGATGGGAGAAATTAAGTGGAAAGAAAGAGGAGAGAAATGAAAAACATCCGTTAAATATGCATAATTTTTTTAATTCCCCTCTTAATTACACCAATTTTTAAAACCAACTTATCTCTACTACTCAAATCTACACCATTGATTATTGTATCATGTAAAACCTAATGTTCGACATTAAAAATGGTATAATTTTAAGGGGTCATTGATCCTTCCACATATAGTATCAATAGCTTCTCCTTAATTTTACACCTATTTTTATATCATTTTTTAGCCTTTAGGATGGCAAACGATGCAAGGCATGGTGTGGCCGTGAGCGAGGATGGCAGCAACATCTCAATAACACCACCACCCTCCAGCCACCGATTTCTCAAGCTATCGAAGTCCATGTTCAGTTACTTTTTTTATTTTTCCATTTTCTTTTGGGTTTGTGTTGATTGAAGTTTGAGAAGCATGAGAGTTTTTTTGGGAAGAACCAAAAAAGATGATGATATTTCTTCTGTGTAAGAGAAAAGAAAGAAGAACAAATTTTCTTTTTGTAAGAACCAGAGAAGATGGTTAAGTGCATTATGTGAAAAAAGAAAAGATACGATTTTTTTTTTTTTTTTTTTTTTTTTTTGGAGATATTATATTTGATTATAGAGTTTTGGAGGTTAAAGATTAATTAGTTAATTTGTTTGTCTAATAAGGGCTATTTACTAGATGATACAGTGGCCAACAACGTTTTACCAAAGATTCATCCTTTAAAATTCATATAAAGGAAGATCACCAGGTATGAAGGGAGGATTGCATTGCGGCACTACAAATTCAGACTGAGGTACAGCTGGATTCATGAAAAAGATTTCTATTATAAAACGTTTACTGACTTTTCAGTTGAAATAAAAAAAAATAGTTAAGTCGTAATTTGGGTAGAAATAAAGGATGAAGACAAATTACATTGTTCAAAGTCTAAAAACTAAACTCTCTGCTCGACTGGTGCGATTGGCGCTCAGGGAGAAGAGTGTTGATCCAGAACAAACTATTTTTACAGCTCAAATCCTTGTATAATCTCCACACACATCTCTTCTTGCTCCCACGCCTCTTCTACCCCAAAACTCCCAAAGTTTGGTCATCGTCGCCAACTTGGTGTAGTTTGTGGTTGCTTAACATCTATTGGGCTTCACTAATTGTTCTAAACTCTTTGCTTTGGTGATCATGGATTTCTTGGGTCCAATCATGGGCTTTCTCCCAACACCGTGGAATTGCATTTCCAATCGCATTGCTATCATCTGTCATCTCCAAGAGAACTTGACTTCATTAAGACAGACAAGGGATGAACTCGAAAACATCAGCAAAGATGTCAGGAGCAATATCGTAAGCGTACAAACCAAGTTGAAGGATGGCTGGAAAGTGTGCAACTCAAATTAGAGAAAGTGCAGAATATTTTGCAGAAGGGAGAGCGAGAGATCCAAAAGAAATGTTTGGGAAGTTGCGGTCCCAGGAACTGTTACTCTAGCTACAAGCTTGGTAAAGAAGTAAATAAGGGGACCGAAGCTGTGAAGGATTTAATAAACAAAGGGAAGGAATTCAAATCTTTGGATGATGTTTCTGAAAAACTTCCTCCGCATCCAGTGGATGAGATATCTGTGAAGAAGACTCTGGGCATGGACTCCATATTGGATGAAGTTTGGAGTTGTCTTGACGACCATGAAGTGAGTGCGATCGGCATATATGGGATAGGAGGTGTTGGCAAGACCACCCGCTTACAGAAACTCAGCAATAAATTCATCGATAAAAGACGAGATTTTGATTTGGTGATTTGGGTTACGGTGTCTAAAGAAGTGAACTTGAATCGAATTCAAGAAGTTATACGAAATAAATTAGATATTCCAGAAGGAAAATGGAAAAGCAAAATAGATGAGCATGGTAGAGCTGCAGAAATCTTCAGAAGCTTATGTAGAAAAAAGTTTGTGCTATTACTAGACGATCTGTGGGAGCGAAATCAGCGAATAGATCTGCTCGACATGGGAGTTCCTGACCTTTCATGCCATCAAAATGGGTCAAAAATTCTATTCACAACCCGTTCAGCGGATGTGTGCCATAGCATGGACGCTGCTGTCAAGAAATTCGAAGTGAAGTGTTTGTCATTTGATGAATCCTTTGAATTGTTTCGACGATGTGTGACGGACGAAGTTTTGAACTCGCATCATCAAATTACAAAGTTTGCTGAAACTGTTGCTAAAAAGTGCAAAGGTTTGCCGCTTGCTTTGATCGCGGTTGGGAGGGCCATGTCCAATAGGAGAATGTAGGAATTAACTGGAAGGGGTATTTATGTAATTCAATAGTTATCAGTTAGCTGGTTTGTTAAGTTGTTAATTAGTCAGTTTTAATTAGTTGGATTAGTTGCTTAAGTAGTTAGTAAGTCAGTAATTAGTTAGTAAAGACTTGTATATAAACTCTCTTGTAAATAAATGAAAGTTAAGAGCATTATTCAGAAAACTCTCTCTTCCTCTGTACGTTCAGAGAACACCAGAGGAATGGCGGTATGTTATCAACACATTGCAGAGTCATCCGTCTGAGTTTGCAGATATGGAAAGTAGTGTCTTTCGAGTTTTGAGGTTTAGTTATGATAGCTTGGGGGATGATAAACACAAAAATTGTTTTCTTTATTGTTCCTTGTTTCCAGAGGATCATATGATTAGAAAAGATGAAGTAATTGACCTCTGGATTGCGGAGGGAATTTTGCATAATTATGGTTTAAATGATACAAGAGATGCAGGAGAGTTTATTATTAGAAGTTTGAAACATGCAAGTCTGTTGGAAAAGGTTGGAGATTCTGATGATTATGTTAAGATGCACGACGTCCTTCGTGATATGGCTCTGTGGTTAGCTTCGGTCAAGGAGAACAAGATTTTTGTTTTTGAAAATCAAGAATCCATTAAAAAACATGGCATTGCTACATGGAAGGAGGCAGTAAGAATATCACTGTGGGGTGGAAGTGTTAAACTTTTCAGGGAAACACCATTTTGTCCGCGTCTGCTAACGTTTTTTTGTTAGACAGACTTCAATAGACACATTTCCTAGTCCATTCTTTCAATCTATGCATGCCATGAAAGTTTTAGAATTGTCAAAGCATCTTTTCTTAACTCGGTTGCCTGCCATGCTTGAAATGATAAATTTGCCGTATCTTAATTCGTCGGATACGGATATAGAAGAGTTGCCAATTATGGCTAACAGTTGGACAAAATTGAGGTTTCTGCTGTTAGATGGTACAAGGGGACTCAAAGCTATTCCAGAAGGAGTGATATCAAGTCTTTCATCGCTCCTAGTGTTCGGCAGAGTACCAACTAAAAATGGCCGGCTGTATTTTCAGCCCTTTTGGAATACAATATTGTTACAAGAGTTGGAGTGCTTGGAAGATATAGAAGAAATTAGTGTCACCTTGTTTACAGTCGATGCTGTATTTCAATTAAAATCATCCTCTTCAGTCCTAAGTTCTAGCCGTTTCGACAACCTTCATGATCTCTATATCAATAATTGTTTGATAAAAGATTTGGCATGCGTCAGATATGCTACACGGCTTAGATTTATTTTTGCTGGAAATTGTCCCTTATTAGAAGAAATAATTCCGTATGAATTCAGCTCTTCATCAGGCGACCTTAACATGTTTGAAAATCTGAAGCAAATGAATTTTAGTGATCTACCACTTCTAAAGAGCATATGCCGTGTCATGCACCTCCCTTCCCTGGAGACGATACACGTAGACAATTGCCCAAGTCTAACAAAACTCTCACTTGACGTTTTCAACGAGAATAACAGCAGAATTTCGATCTTGGGACATAAAGAGTGGTGGGAGGAGCTGGAATGGGAGAATTCGAGTTCAAAAGTTTCTTCTCCCTCTATGCATCAGACAGCACAATATTGTTCCGACAATTTTCCACACTTTAAAGAAGCTGTTTGGCGGTATTCAGATAATCCAAGTTATACATATGAAGCAACAGTGTTTGAAAGGTACGTATCCTCCGTACTTTCGAATCCAATCTAGATCTATTAATTTTATTTTGTTGTAGTACTTAAGTTCATTTTCCTGTAAACAATATCAAATTTACTCATTAGAGAGACCAAAGTGGAATACGCAGTCAAATCTAAAAATTTTTGTCGCTGCTCAAAAAGTAGGATTACATCATATATTTGTAGTATCAGATAGAGGAGACTGATACTTTAATATTTGATATTAGTAGTTCCTTATCTAGATTGTTTCAAACACAAAAATCTAAGTAGGGGAATCAACTTGTCCTTGGAAAAGACTAATACTATCACTTAAATTTTTGACACACGTTATGAACCGTTCATAGGTGATAAGATATGTTGAGTTGACATTAAATGTAACTACTTTTTAAATTCTCTTTTGTCACCATTGACTTTTGTTGATCATGATTTAGAGTAGAGACATTTATAGCTTTCTACTTTTCTTCTTTGATTTCCTCTCTTACCAAAATCCCAAAGAGTAACATGCTATCAAATTACAGAATTAAACATTATTGATGAATTTTCTCAACACTCTACTAGAAAAACTAGCTTCATTGACACTTAGGCTCTTGACAATTATGAAATTATGTACTAATAAAAAATTATGTATTTAAAAATATAGGTATTATAAGACTTAATTTTTTATTAATTTAAACGGTAAATTGAGTGGTTAATTGGTAATTTAATGAAAAAAGTCAATTTTATAAGGGTAAAATTGAAAGATATTAAAACTAAGAGGGACTGGGAATATGCTTTAGAAGGCCTATATGTAGAAGTAGAAATAAGAAGGGTTGAAATGATATTTAGCAGTTCATTTAGCCGGAAACAATTTTTTTGAAAACATACACGAGGAAGGGACTCGAAGTGAGCCTTCAAATAATCTCCCCCCACCAATGATGCTGCAGCCTGCAGTGTTACCTTTTCATGTTGTCAAACCATTACATATTTTATTATTTTTAAAAAAAGTAAATAACTTAAGACAATTGCATGCCTCAAAACTTTCTAAATTGACACTTTGTCACTCATGTCATAAATTCGACATACAGTTACTTTTTTTCCGTCTAAATGGATGGCTGACCTGTTTTGATTAATGAAAAGTCGTAATTACGCTTGAAGATTTGTTGTACATCGAACTACCTGACATTTAGTTTTGATGATTCTGGCAATTGACGTAGCACTATTGAGGAAAAGATTTTCGAATTCAGTGTAAGAGCAGTGCGGTACATCCGAGAAAAATATGCAGCTCGATGTCCCCGTGCAAGAGTTCAACCTGGTTGATGACGTTGCTACATATAGCTCAAACGAGGCAAAAAATATGTAGACTGAAGTGGCAGAAATGAAGGCTAAGATGCAACTTATGCAAGTGAAGCAGAAGAAGATTGAAGATTCCATTGGATAAAGATGCTAATCATTGTCTTGTTTACAATTAAACCTACCTTAGTCCTGCAACATTATTGCCTGCAATTAGTTCAGAAATTGAAGCAGAAGTTTAGTAATTGTTTGATAATTACTGTGCTTTCTTTCTGGAAAGAAGTGTGATTCATACGATAGCTTAAAATTGCAATAAGCTCTTTCAAATGATAAAGGATTAGCAGTAATATTACGTTCTCTAACACTTGTACTTGATATGTAATTCTCATGTGGAAACCTCTCTGTTTCATTGTTTCAACAAATTTTTTTATTTGTATAACTGATTTTCAGATTTGTTTTGCTGAAATGTCTATCAGATGGGTACATAAGTGAAGAAATTCTTACTTTGATGACTGATTTGACACTATATTTGTTGTTCTTGTGTAGCTGTGGACTCCAAAACAGTGAATACGGTTCGTCTAGGTATTTGTGCTTTGTTATTTTATTTTAGGTATGAAAAATGTTCACTTTGAACTCAAAAATTAGAGGTGAAAATCAGCTGAACTTTGTTAAAGCAGCTGGTAAAATGCAGAGGAACGAAAAGTAAACTGATAAAGTGCTGAGAAGAAAAAGGGAAAGTATGAGAGAGAAAGTGTAATATGTTTTTGTGTTTTTTATTAACTATGAATGATAGCTACAGTTTTGTATTTATACAAGCTATACTAACTAGCTAATAACCAACTGTCTAACAAACTTAAAACCATATTAACAAACTCTAACACGTGATTAACAGAGTAACAGAATTAGTTATCTGTTTTAACAAACTTTCTAACATCCTAACATCCATCCGTAAGTTGAACCTCCAAGCTTCAGCATTTTCTCATCCTAAGCTTCAACATTTTCTCATTCTAGCATCAACGCACTCCAATAACAATCAACCATCATCAACTTAACAAAATCAACCAGCATCAATCAACATTACTTCAGCAAAATTCAACAGCAACATCAATCAGCATCAACCATATCAACAAAAAAAATCAGCCATCATCAACTTAACAAAGGCATTACTCCAGCAACATTCAATAGCATAATCAATCAGCATCAACCACATCAACCAAAAAAAAAAACAAAAAAAAAATCAACCATCATCAACTTAACAAAATCAACCAGCATCAATCATCATTACTTCAGCAAAATTTAACAGCAACATCAATCAGCATCAACCATATCAGCAAAAAAAATTAATCAGCAAAGTCAATCAGTAACAGAGGAAATTCCTCAACAGTGAGTAGAACATATCAAGATACTGCTTAGCAGGTAGTAGTAACTTCAGCAAAAGAATGGAACATAGTGAATTCTTCAAGAATTTCAGCAGCTGGAAGGAGTTTGACTTCAGTAGAAGAATAGAACATAGTGAATTCATCAAGAAATTCAACAGCTGGAAGGAGCTTGAACTGTGAGTTTGTTCCTTAAAAATTCAAATCTGGAAGAGCTTTAGTAAAAATATCAGCTTTTTGAAATTTAGTGGGAACATATTGAACTTTGAGCTTGTGGGCAGTGACTTGTTCTCTCACATAATGAGCATCAAGCTCAATGTGTTAAGTCCTGCCATGAAAGACAAGATTAGATGCTAATGAACCAGGACTTTGGTTGTCACACCAGATGACTAGAAATTCTGACAGAGGAAGGCCAATCTAAAAAAAAAAGGCTGGAAAACCAAGTCAATTCTATAGCACCTTGAGCTAGAGCTCTGTACTCTGCTTCAGTGGATGATAGGGCTACTACTTTCTGTTTTCTAGAGGTCCATTGAAATAGATTTAAGCCAAGAAAGACACAACAACCACTAGTGGACCTGCGGTCTTCAGGGCTGCTTGCCCAGTCAGAATCTGTTAACACTCCATGTTTAATCTGTGACTTTTAGTGAATTGTAAGCCAAAGTGAGTTGTGCCTTTAATGTACCGAAGTAACCTTTTGCAAGCCTGCCAGTGTAGCTGTGTGGGAGCTTTAAGAAACTGACTTAACTTGTTAACACAATAAGCAATATCAGGTCTAGATAAGGTCAGATATTGGAGAGCTTCTATTGTGCTTCTATAAAGGGCTGGATTTTCATAAGGCTCACTGTCATTCAGAGTTAACTTGGTGCCGAGAGCCATAGGGGTAGTACAAGGCTTGCATTCTCCCATGTTAGTTCTTTCCAAAAGATCTTTAGCATACTTTGCTTGATTCATATGAAGACCTGATGTAGTTCTGGAAACTTCAAAGCCAAGAAAATACTTTAAAGATCCCAAGACTTTTAAGGCAAATTTAGTGTTTAAGTCTTGAACAGTAGCTTGTACTAAAGTAGGATCATTTCCTGTGAGTAGTATGTCATCCACATAAACTAGGACATACATGATTTTCTCATCCTTTTTGTAAATAAAAAGACTTGAATTTGCCACAGAATGTGTAAAACCCCACTGCAAAAAGGCCTGTTTTAGCTTCTCAAACCAGGCTCTTGGTGCTTGTTTTAAGCCATAAAGAGCCTTAATTAATTTACACACATGATGAGGTTGTGCATGGTTAATAAACCCTTCAGGCTGAATCATGTATACTGTCTCAGTAAGTTCACCATTTAGGAACGCATTGTTAATGTCAATCTGCTGTATATCTCACCCATTATTCACTGCTAAGCTAAGGATTACACGAACAGCTGGTGACTTTACTATAGGGCTGAAGGTTTCCAAGTAATCTACACCCGGAGTTTGTTGAAATCCTTTAGCCACTAATCTGGCTTTGAACCTTTGAACAGATCCATCAGAGTTATACTTGATTCTAAGCACCCATTTACTACCAATTGGATGCATTTCAGAGGTGAGATGAACCAACTCCCAAGTGTTATTATTCAGTAGGGCATCAAATTCAGTTTGCATGGCAGCCTTCCAGGATGGATGAAAGAGAGCTTCTGATACTGTTACTGGCTCTTTGGTGTCAAGGGAAGAAACTAAGATAGTATTATGAGCTCTAGTCTTAGACCTAGTGAGCATAGGATGTGTGTTTAATGGTTGAGGGCAGGGTTTGGCAAGAGGTAAGGAGACATATAATGGAATAGAATCATAAGATTCATTGGAGTCTAAAGTTTGAGGTGATAGTATGGACATTTGGGACTGATCAGATGTATTAGTTTAGGGTGATAATGTGGAGGTTTGAAGTTGATCTAACAGGTTCGCTTCTGGGACAGGATAAAGAGTATTGTCATGTGTGATAGGATCAAATGTGGGAGACTTATTGAAAGGAGGAGTTGGTTAGAGAACTGGGGTAGAATGTGATGTGTCTGAAGTGTTAGACTAATGTAAAGTGGTGGGATGAGACCTGATGTATCCAGCATTTTAGACTGATTCATTGTGGTAGGACCATTAGGAGGTATGAAATGTATATGGGAATGCTGAGGTAAATGCCAAACAGAATGATTAAAAGAATGTGAATGAGAGTCACATGAAAAGGAATCATTAGAAGACAACGAAACAGATGTTTGAGCAGCTGCAAATGGAAATTCAGTTTCATCAAAACTCACACTTTGACAAACATAAATACGACCAGTGGGATCCAAGCACTTATAACCCTTGTGCTGTAAACTATAACCAACAAAAGTATATTTAGTAGTATGAAAGTTGAATTTATGACAGCTGTATGGTCTAAGAAATGGGTAAACAGCACATCCAAAAACTTTAAAGGCTGAATAGTTTGGTAAAGTGTGAAACAAAATCTGAAATGGAGATAAATGTGACAGGACTGATGTGGGGAGTCTATTGGTGAGATAGGCTGCAGTTTGAAATGCAAACCACCAGTATTTTAGTGGCATGCACGCTTGGGCAAGCAAGGTAGGGCCTTGTTCTACTATTTGTCTATGTTTTCTCTCTACTACCATTTTGTTGGTGAGTGTGAGGACAAGGGTGCCTAAAAAGAATCCCACGTTCTTGAAGATAGGGAACTAAGCTTCTATATTCTCCACCCCAATCGGTTTGAACACATTTTATTGAGGTGTTAAATTGTTTTTCAACTAAGACAAGAAATTGCTTAAAAATAGTATGAGTTTCAGATTTAGCTTTTAAAGGGAAAATCCAAGTGAATCTACTGTGATCATCCAAAAATTGGATGTAATACTTGAATCCTTCAGGTGATGGGACGGGAGAAGGCCCCCAAAGATCAGAGTATATTAATTCTAGAGGTTTAGATGCATGGAATGAGGACCTAGGAAAAGTTGACTGATGTAACTTCCCATACTTACATGCTTGAAAAAATGTAATATCATTTTTAGTGTGATGAGGAATTTTTAGGGCATTGAGAATTTTTGTAAGGACTGCCATGTGTGGATGACCAAGCCTCTTATGCCAAAGCAGAATATTTGTTTTCTGTGCTGGAAAAGACTCAAATTTATGCAATTTATTGATAGAATTGGGATCAATTACAGAGTGCATAACATCTGAAACAAAAGAGTCAGAATGTTGTATAGTAGTTTTATTGAAAGGAATATTACATATGGGAGTACAAGCATTAAAGGGAATTGAAATAGGAAGCTGTGAGTGTTTAGCAGATGATGCAGATGCAAGTACTGATTTTAGACAAAATAAAGTAACAAAGCCAATATGAGTAATAGATAGAAGCTCACCATTTCCAACCTGGAGTTGCTCACTGCCACCATAGTTGGTGCTGCCCATGAGTTGTGAAAAATCTGAGGTAACATGGTTTGTAGCTCCAGAGTCCATGTGCCAAGTACTATCTTGAACCATGGAAGGTGTAGCAATATAGTTGATAGCTGCTGGTGATTGTTTAAATTGTTGAGACTGTGCAACTAATGCTTGATTGTGCACATGAGTAGATGCTGATGAGTTGGACTGATTATCAATGTTCCCAGCTGAGGTTCCATGATCTGTAGAAATTGATGAACCTGA